AGAGGCGGCTGTGGGTGGTGGGAGCCTTACGGGACAGCGCTCGCCTTGGCCACCGTAGCTCCTGTTCTCCTGATCTGGTCTTACACCTTCAGATAGATACTGAAGTCACACTCTAGCCACCTCTAGAGATAGTTAACTGGAGCAACTGACAGCAAAATGTAATGGTGTTTAGTGTACAGTTAAATTAAAACAGGTGGTGAAGGAGCCAAAAATCATGATATTCTATTAGAGTAAAAAATAAAGTAATGAAAAAAGTGATGTTCATAAACTTTACCTTTTCACATTTTCACTTCCCAGCTCATCTGGAAAAGAAAAAAGTTGGTGTTCATAGTGCTGCTCTTTGTATATACAGGGTCCAGCCTTGCAGGTTGCATTTTCAAAAGGTGTAATAGTTAACTTGTAGATGAAAGACAAAACATCTCATCTTGTTTGTAATTTTCAGAGGAACCCATTATTTTTAATCTTGAACACACCAAAAGCACCTCATTATTAGCTCGGCCATGCTGGGAGGAAACCGACTGTTAGCCCCGCGGTTGGCAGGATGCTGCAGCTGCAGGACTCCCTGAGCAAAACAGATGTCATGAGAGAAATGGTATCCTGAAAAGGAACCACTGCTGCAAAATAATTGTTTACTGGAAGCACTGGGACATTTTGCTGCAGACTACACACAGGCGATCCGGCTCTGCCTGGAGACTCAGAGAGCCACTCATGGAGAGAAGAAGTGGGGGATGAACCTGCATGGCCGATTAAATCTCAGTTAGGCAAATGAAGCTGAACTAGCCAGATGCCAAAAGGGATCCAAAGCTAGTTATGACCCCAAGACAAAGTAAAGATGAGCAAAAAAAATAGTTTAACAGCCATTATTCAGATAAATAACTTCCCCTTGAGGAATCAAGTGTCTGAAAAGCCTCAGCCCTCAAAAAAGGAGGAAGAACTACGTATAGGATTCCCATTGTATACTGTCTTAAATCGGCTTATTTTTTTAAATTCAGCATCTCTGATGGGTGCTGACACCTCCTACTTGTTCCAGCACATTCTCTGGCTGCAGAGCCACCCCAGGACCACAGAGCTGGCTGCCCCTGCTTTGAGGATGCCCAAAATCCCAGCTCCAAGCAATAGGCACAGTGCCAGAGATCCCAGATTTGTACTCCTGCAAGGCACTACATTTTCCATCCCTCTGAAGAGTGTACCTGCATTTCAGGTCATCCAGAAACAGGTGGGGAACTAGATGCCTGGTTGTGAATTCAGAGTCAGAGTTTGCTACAACAGTGACCCGGTGATCATAAAACCAAAGAACGGTTTGGGTTGGAAGGGACCTTAAAGATCATCTAGTTCCAACCCCGCTGCCATAAGCAGGGACACCTTCCACTAGATCAGGTTTCTCAAAGCGTCATCCAGCCTGGCCTTGAATGCTTCCAGGGATGGAGCGTCCACAACTGAAGATGCAGGTGCAGCCTAAAAATGCCTTGAAAAATGGACTTAAAATCTGTGTTGAACATCCATCACTGTCTGCAGGCTGAGGAGCTTACAGCTGCACTCTTGCTCTGTAGAGACATCAATATAACCATTTCAGGATGTCACTTACCAGCTGTGCGGTTTTAATATGACACTTCAATTTGTTTTCGGTGGCTTGACTCTAAATTACCGATTTCTTTGCTAACAGATCAAGGTACCTTCCTGAAGTGCTGCTCTCCCTATCACAGCACTCAGGCAGCCTGACCATGGCTACTTCATTTACTGTGATATCTTCATAGCTGCCACCACCCTACAGGATCCTTTAAAAGTGAGGTTTTGCTTGTTCTTATTTTACTGAAGCTCCGAGCAGCTTTACCTTGTGGGCAGTATAGGCAACAGCAGCATTAAATTCACCTTGCATGAAGTTATTAAGCATAAAGACTTATGAGCAGAACTAGCTCCTGCCCAAGGTACCACTGGCCGGAGGTGGATCCCTTTCCTATCTGTCAAATGGGCAACTACAACCAGAGAAGTACATCCTGAATGTGCCATCCCAGGCCTACAAATAACATTTTGTTAACATCAAGAGCATCCTAAAAATATCCTTCTGATGCACAAGAAGACAAATTTACCTTGCTTAGACTTTTTCCTTTTATGATGTATTACGAAAAAAATGATCAGCAATATCAGCAGGACCAGCAGTGCGATGGGGGCAACGTATAACAAGATAGACTGTTCCTTTGCTTCTAGGCTCTCCTGATTGTTCATGGCATTCAGTTCAGTACTTGGAACACTGTTTGTTTCAGAGCTGCTTTCAGTAGCGCCTACAGTGACAAGTACCAGCTCATGGTCATCAGCGGTCGAAGAACGCGTAGCAGGAGGCGGCGTTACTGTAACGGTGGATAATATTGGCGATCCATCTCCTGAACCATCACTTTCAGAGCCTGCCAAATATATGAGGACAACTTAACATTTTATGGATTTCATTGGTAGTGAGTCAAAGCATACAGCTTTAATATTTACTTTTCACTCAGTGTCTTAAAAAACATCAGCAGATGCCCTACACACATAGATTTGAAGTCCTGGGCATCAGATGTAAAATTAGATCGCAAATTGGTCACAAATTCTTACCAATCCTGACCATGTTCTTCAGCTGGCTTTTACTGGGACACGTCAGCACATGGCTGTCTTGCACAAACAGACATTTTTTCCTGCAGGTTGGCATCCGGCCTCGCTCACATAAAAGCTTCTGCTTGTCAGCAAGCCACATCATCCTGCCTTGCTCCTCAGCTTTGGTGCGTACAGCTGCAACCTCTTTCACCTCACCCCATTTATCCAAGGAGTTAGTACTCCCTTTGGGGAGAGCCTTATGCCAGGTTTACCAGTTCCTCCAGCTCACTCATCTCCCCGTTTCTGCACCTTTCTCAAATATGCTGAATGTGGTTCACTGTGAAAAACAGAACTGGTGAAAGGAAGTCTGAAGCCTGCAGAAGCTGCTGACTTTCACTTCTGCACAGACTAGCCAAGGTAGTAATAACACGGGGACTTCACAAGATACAAATTAACTGCTCCTCTGTCTGATCCTGCAGGCAGGGTAAAGGAGCGTATGGTAAAGAATCAGTGCTGGGTATTCTTCACAAATGCAAAGACTGAAGGTTTTGAATCTTGATTTGGGTTTTGGTTTCATTTAGAGTATATTTTGCAAGAAAAGTGACTAAAATTAGCTATATTGGTAATAGTTAAACAAGATTTTTTTGAGGCTAATTAAGAGTCTATGTTAACTGTCATAGAGTTTAAAGCTTAGCAGGAGTACTGCAAATTCTGGGCTGATACTGTATTCCATATTGACGCCAAAAATCCTATTGTAGCCAAAGGTGCAGAAGTCAGTCCTTAGATAAATTCCTTCAACACGTTTCCAAATCCAAAACGTTCAATAATTTTCTTAGCATGTAATTAAATGATGATTTTTTGTGTTATCTGCCCTTTCAGATACAGGCCTGGTATGATGCAGCTCTCATTTTATGCAGTAAAGCAAGATGGGATTTCATGACTTTTGCAATGACATGTTTCTCCCCGTTCTTGTAAAGTGCTGGGCAACCATAGTTTCCACTAGAGTTAGCAAGAGCTTAAGGTTTCCAGCACCTCAGTGCTGGCATTTCAAATCTCACAGGACTGGAACCAAAAGTACTTAGCATTTGAAATGCTTTTGTAAACACATTAATCTTCATAATGGCCCTGAGAGATGAGCAGTTATCATCTCCATTTTACAAATGAGAAATCAGAAGGACAGGGATGCTGTCCTTCCCAGGGATGCCAAATGAGAGAGGAAAACTGGAATTAGAGCGCTATCTCTTGCTTAATCCACTCTGCAGCATCTCCTCTCCTGTCAGATTTGTCTCAAAGAGGAGATAAGTATTTCATGAGACTGTATTCCAGGAAACCCAATTTCAAATCAATAAAATGATTTGAGTGTGACAGCAGTGATTTATCTAGATTTTCATGCCACAGTTATCGCTCAGACACCTAATTGTTTTATCTTTTCCTAAAATCTAGGAAATAATTTTAATACTTAATAAATAATACCTAATCATTTAATATAGTATTTAACACTGCAGAGGTCACCAGACTTTTTTGCCACAATACCACAATGAAAATGTTAGCTCCCCAGTGGCAAAGCACTTTGTATCGATAGTCTCTCTGTCGCTTTCTTCTGCATTTAGTATTTCAGTCAAGAGCAAAACACGATCCCTGCCTCCCTTGCAGGTAATGACCCCTTACGCGTGCGCTCCTCCACCCCTTCCCGTGATCTGCTGGCTCTCATTAATCCTGTCGCCGAGGACAGGAGGGAGAGCTCCTCTCCCTTACTAATTTGGCCACTGGACTCTTCTTTCCCGAGGTGGTTTACAGTCGGCGGTGACTGCAGCAGCTCCGTTTCGATTGCCGTTGCACAGGGCAGCGAGGTATCGCTGGAGACGGCCGCGCCGCAGACCGCGGCGTGATGGACCGCGCCGCTGGCGAAGCCAACGGGCCACTGCAGCCTCAGTGAACTGCTCCGATGACCTTGCTTCATTTTCCTTCTCTAGCCATCGCCCTTGAAACCTGTCGCCTGCCTCATTTGATATATTGACAAGGACAAGCCCATTGCTTAAAATAGTACAAGTGGGAAAGGGTGTGGGGAAAATACCTTACTTTTCATTTACTCTTAGAGCTAAAATGGATTTTTCAAATGTCTAAAGCGTGGTGTGACTTTAAAGCAGAAGCAAACAGTCACACCTCATTAACCGCAGGGCTAAATTTTCAGCTGCAGCGTACGCTGCGCTTGGTTTCCAAGAGAGCCTTTTCCAGCCTCTCTGGTATTTTTTATTTGCCTATTTTTGAGCTACGAAGCAGATTTCAAATCATTTGTCTCTGTGTGAAATAGAATTGCCTTTTCTAGTCTCTAGGCAAAGAAAATGGCAAATCACAGGGACTGACCTTGCTGCCACACATTTTTGTTCACTTTGCATAATTCCAGGGACAAACCAGCATCTCTTCTGTGAACACCATTTCACCTTACACAGATCTTTTCCCCGAGTGAATTAAATACATCTTTCAGCAGAAGGGTAGCAAATTGCACAATGTTCTTGCAAGGATATTGCTCTTATTTCCTGTGTTCATCTGCTGCCTTGACACATGTCCCCCCAGCTCTTCTGCCCATCACCTCTGAGGACCAGAGCTTGGACTCGAGGGATGCCCTACCTGTCACACACAGACTGTTCTCGCTCTCTGGCCACTTAGACATCACATTTTTTTATGCCATGGTAAAATCACAACCTGCACCTTGGTGGGCCGGGTGGCTTGCACCAAGGAAGGATTTGCACTTCCAGCCTGGCAGGGAGGGACAGACTCAGACGCCACCTGGTGCAGGCACAGCGCTTGCTGCAGCCAGTTGCCTGGGCCATACGAGACCCATGTGGTTGGCCCCAAGGTAGTCATTGTTTTTCAGAGAGTTTCAGTTTAAAGTGCTCACAACAGTGAGTGGGCTGCATTGCAGCTGGCCCCAGTAGCTGTTTTGTTGGGTGAATGAAAGGCCAATGTCACAAGGTTTGGAGCAGGGCAGGAGAGTATCTGAAAGTCAGAGGTTTTGTTAGATGTTGTTCAAACGTTTTCTCCATGCCTGGAGGGAGCCAAATCTGCAGTGGTCATTCATACCATGAACTGTCTTGTCAGACGTGCTTGGGTTTCATCTTGCAGAGCTCTACGAGCCCCCTCCGAAAGGGAGTCTGGCCATAACATAACCTAATATAATATAGCATGTGTTCAGGATGGAAAACCAAAGTCGATGGAGCGGAGCAAGGAGCAAGTCACGTCTGACCATGTAGATATCTCCTCGGCTTTGCAATGCCCGGGCCCTTCCTCTTGCTGGGCTCAGCCTCGTGCTGTTGGCTATGGTCTGACATCCGTACTTGGCCCTCTGCACATCTCGGCCAAGGAGCAGGTGCTCACACAACCACATCAGCTTCAGCTTTGTCTGGACTGCCTGGGGTGTGAGTGCTGGGGACTTCTCCCTGTGTCGAGGGAAGCAGATGAGAGCACGCCACAGCTTCAGCCCAGCCCGTATTGCCACTTTCTGTGCTTTCAAAGCAGAAGGGAGAGGGGCTGGCATGCAGCTGTGTCCCACCCTGATGGGGAGCTGGGCACAGCTGGAACTGAAGGCTAAGAAGCTGGAGCTGGAAGCTCAGAAGTCTTCAGGTTCTCACCACTGAGATATCAGAGGATCTAGTCCTCAGGGGACCAAAATTCCTGAGCAAGCACTAGCAGTGGCTCAAAAAAGGTTCCATACAGTTCTTATGAATTACAAAAAAGCTATGTCACTCTATGCAGATACCATGGCATAAGATATTATTCAGTATTTTCTACTTTAAAAATACGCTCGTATTACTGATGGACTTTGCATGAGTTTTGGAGGTGGTCCCAAGCCTGCCTTTCAAAGGAGATGAGGGAGCTGAATATACCGAGCGGCTTTGCAGACCGGTGTCCAAATGACTGCATCTCAAACAAACAAACAACATTTCTGTCGTTGCAGCATTTCTTTCTCTGAGGCTTGTGCTCAGCACTCAGGGGTGGCGATACGAGCTTCTTGATGAAGTAAGTGAGCAAACAGGTTTCTGATTTCAGTTGGATGCAAGGCAAAGGAAAATAGCCGACAGTCAGCACGTTTGATTCTGCTGTAAATCATCGGTCTCCCTGCGGCCTCCTCAGCAAACTCAAGGACTGGGGTCTCTGAAGGGAATTTTTCAAATGACACTTTAGTGCCCACTTACAGATGAAAAAGGGGTGGGACAGAGGAAAAGCAAGAGCTAAGTCAATGGGATAGCCAAGCTTATTAATTTGAAAGGGAATTTTTGATTTCTCCAAACTTTACTATAAGCTATAATAATGCAGTGAAAGGAAGGCTGATGAGAGGGTGACAAAACAGGGAAAGGCTATAAAGCCGTGTATGTTAGTGTAAAGTTACCACATCCTGTATTACTCTGCTCCATACACACATTCCTTCTGCTGGTATAGTCATACGACTCCACGTGGTCCCTCTGATCCTCTCTCCTATCGCTTGACTCATCCCTGTTCCATTCCTCTCCCTGCATCTCATGTTGCTGTAAGACAGGCCGTTCCTTGCCATGGCCAGGGCTTGCCCGGCTGCCTGTTGCGGCAGGTCCCGCCTGTCAGTCTGGCTAGAAGAGGAACCCTTAAAAGCCCGCAGGCTACCTGTCGGGTGCATAAGCTCTTCTGATGAGGCAGCACAAATATTTCAGGATGGCTCATCTATAGACAAGTTCCTATTAAAATGGGGTGCTTAGAAAGTGTTATCTAGGTATAACCTGAAAGAGGAAACAATTGTTCAAGTTCATTTCTGGATGATGGAGACTGCTTTCTCCTCACCGTACTTCCATCCAGTTGAAGTGCTGCATTAACTGCCGGCGTTGCAAATTCAGTCACGCGTCTTAGAGTCAAACTGTGAACCTGTAGTCTCATTTCTCACCCCTAGTACTAAAGGTTTTTCAGACCAACTTATGCATTTAGTTGCATCTAGTTAATATCTGCACCAGTGACACCCGTGTGACCTCACTGTGATGCGAATTTCTCAGTGCTCCTTGCTCTCAGGAGGACCATGAAATGAAAGATTCAGAAGCTCCAGAGGCTCTCTAGTTGCCGTAAAATCTCCTGAGGGAAAAGAGACTGGGGTCACTGACTGAAATTTAGTATGCAATCTTGACGATCTAAAGGAGAAACTTTCTGATATGCCTCTGAAGCACTTGAATAAAACATAGTGGAAGTTTGTGTATGTGGATAAAAAAGATGAATAGGAGTAAATACATACAAGGAATTGATGCGTTCAGTAGAAAGGGGTTTTCATCTGCTTTTTAGGGAGCTGCACTTTGGAAAGACAAGATGTAGTAAATCCTCATTTCTTATATTGATGCTTTGCTAGAAAATTTTAACAGGTGACTCCGATGGGTTCAAACCCATTCCCAAGTCCGTTACTCCAGGACAGAACAGGACAAAAATATCACTCCCTTAGAGACCTTGGCTTTGTAGGGGACCTTACCTAAGAAGCACTTCTCTGCCAAAGGGAGAGCTGCTGCCTGCGCTCATGGCACAAGCTGCCGAGTATCTGGATCTTTGATAGCAACATTCCTTTGAATGACAGCTCAAAACAATAGCACAGAGGTACAGCCAAAATAAAGCACTACCTGCAGCCATCCCAGCTCTTCCACTTAATGACCTCATGCGCTTTACTGCTCCTCTCCCTCACACATTTTCTTGCTCCCTGTGTCAGACAACTCACATTGCAATTTCCTGTATGTTTCCCCAAGCACGGAGGGAGATGGCGTACCCTGGGAAACGTCCGTCGGGTCAGAGCCTTTTCCTACAAGGTATAGAAGGGTTTTAACACTAGTTCCTAGGGTCGGGACACACCTAGGTATGTCCTTAGGGCTGCTGTGAGGCTGAGCAGCGACACCATCACCCAGAGCAGGGAGGGCCACTGCTGGCCCTCAGCAGGTCACCGGTGGGACTTTCTGCCCACGTAAAAAGCAAGAGTATGGGCAAGGGGAAGGGGACTGGGGCGAACCCCCGTGTGCCATCAGTGTGGAGCCAGGAGAGGGTCAGCACCCAGAGCTGAGACCTCAGGTATGCTCTCAGGTAGCAGCGTAGCCGGGAGAAAACTGTCTGTTAATCATAATCCAAATGGCTAGGCTAGGGTTTTACAAGGCTCCAGCATGGTATGGGAATAGGACTTATAAAGGCTTCAATCTGTCTGTGCTGCAAGATCTAATCATACTCTTATCGCCTGTTTTGCAAATGGTTTCTAGACAGCGGAGGTGAGACCTGGGAGATGCCCAAGAGCTTCTGTCCCCCTTCTCCAGCAGACCACTTTAAAGCTGAGGATTATGTCTGGGACTGGAGGAAAAAGGAGAAAAGCTCCTTTAAAAGTCCTGCCCTGTGGATCTGTGAGCAAGCAGTGGTGAGAGCAAAGGATCTCCCCAGGAGGCTGCCCTCAGCGGAGGGGCTCCCGACCCACCAGCGCTTGTAAGGTATATAAGTCCCTACATAAACTCTTCCCTCTTCAGTTTTGATTTTCCCACTAAGGCCCAAATTCACAACTTTCCCCCCTCCCACTCTTGCAGTGAGAGTAAGCCCCAGGTACATTTTGGGGCTGGCTGCACAAGCAAAAGCCACCTTTGTGTGGGGAGCAAGGGTCCTTGCTCTTCTCAGGGTGGGTGCTCTCCTCCCCTTCCCTGGCAGCTGGGGACTGGCTCAGGAGAGCCAGGGCCAACAGCGGGCGGGGAGAGCTCTGGCAGGACTGACTCTCTCCCATGGAGAGAGTTTCCCTCCGTTTCCCTGGGACCTCCGTTGTGCTCTGTCCTCAGCGGGGATTTTTCCTCCAACCGCTTTGATTCTGAGCTACGTTCAACGCTTGCAGCCTGTTTTCCCGGTGTGTCTGTAACTGCAGGGCTGTAGTACCGCAGTCAAGACCAAACCGTCTTATAAGTCACTTAGCTCGCTCTCACAGCTCAGCGAGACTCCTGACCGCAAGCAGCTCGGCAGTGTGCCAGGAGCCCGCAGCCCAGTTTTACACTCTGCTTATAGTACTGGTTTTCAGGGAAAAAACAGCCATACCAAACCACCTATTTCACCAATGCGTTTTAAAACCTTAACAGAAGTCCAGTGATAGCCGAGAGTGACCATCCTCTCTCCCTGCTTTCTGGAGAGCTCCCGCTCACTGCAGCAGCACAGAGGCAACAAATACTTCCCATCCATACTGAGGCACTTTGGCAGTGATTTCTTTGACATCAAAAAGCACATAAGCACCGCCTGGCAAGGTTTTACTAAAAGAGCTGCCTGTCTTGTGCAGTTGCTGGCTGCCAAAATGCCAGTGGAACAAACTACCCCCACTGCGAGCGGGTGAGAGCCTCTGCGACAACACCCCAACGCGTCAGCATTTTGTCGCAAGCAGCTTTTCCACTCGTGGTTCTTCCCTTCAGAAAGTCAGGACCTAAATCTATGGTGCTGACCGCCTTGCTCTGCAGCTGAGAATTCAAAATATTTGTCGCCGGAACTGGCTGTTCTTTTGTTAAACTGGTTTCAGTGCACCGGGACTACAGGAATCGGCAGTCAGCTTTTGAATGGAAGTGGTGCTCCGTCTTTAACTTTACCATTAAATGCTGATGGTATGGGTGTGGGGTTAAAAAAGTACAACAAATAATTAAAATTAGAACCAAAATGCCTGGTGGGCCAGCGTGGGAACTTCGGTACCCTACACACCTGCAATCTAGGAAATGTAGGAATTGTAGCATTTAGGTTGCTGCTGTTTGGGGTTAGATCTAAGGAAAAAAAGTCAAAGCTTTGAAAAAGTCTGGCAGCTGAAAACAGAGAGGGTAAACTCGGCTAAAAGAAGCAGAGAGCAAGTCTCCACAGATCTTCTCCTAGGGCTCAGTTTGGAGGGTGTTGCCCTCCCACTCGGTCCCCTCTGTGCAGGCACGACCCGCGGTCCCACCTCGGAAGGCGAAAGGCGCTCTCTTACTCACCGTTCCCGGCAGATCCTCTGGCCAGCGACAGGGCAGAAAGCAGCGCGATGAGGTTTTGCTTTCGCATGTTACCTTGGCGGTGCTCCCACCCGAGGGGTGCTTTGGCTGGCTCCCTGCCTCACCCCAACATTTACATTTCCTGCTTCCTGCCGGGGTGCATCTGAGCTGCATTTCTGTAGGGAGATGGACTCTCTTTGATGGGTTTTAGGAAGTGATGTAATTCCGTCTGGGCCTGTCAAGCGAGCAACGATTGCAAAAGAAAGAAGAAGAAGAAAAAAAAAAGAAGTTGCTTTTCCAGCACTAACTTGACTGAAGCACCTTTATGCTGTAGGTGAGCAAGCTCCTACTCTCCTCTGCTCTTTTGACTCTTGATTTTACTACCATCTGTCTTCAGCTACATGCAGTGTTGTGGGCTGAACATCACACAAACGCAAATATGACACAAAAGACCACTTACGTGTGTTAGCAGGAAGGTTTTAGGTCACTTTTCAGGGTGGTTGAGCAAGCAGATTTCAATAGTGCCTCCCCCTTCCCACCTTGGTTTTCAAGCTGTAATTCTCATCCCAGTATGGTGGGACGCTGCGTGCGTTTATGATCCCCAAAGGCAACCCCCAGGCAGGGCTGTCTCCAGCAAATGGAAAAGTGGCTGGTTCGCTTGTGTTGCCTGGCAGCCTGTAATTGAGTATTTTGGGTCAGTTGAAGCCAACAAAGAGGAAAAAGCAGAAAATCATATCATTTTTTTGTTAGGAGCAGGTGGTTTAGCTGGAAAGCACTCAGACACCAGTACGAAGATGGCTGTAGATGAGGGGGGATGCAAAGCGTGCAGATGGCTGTGCATGAGGGGGAAAGAAAGTCTCAAGCCCCACTAGGATTCAGTGCCTGGCAAGGGGGTCCGCGGTGCCACGATTGATGGCCCATCGCCCACTCACTCAGAAACACGCGAGGGTTGACCAGAGGCTTCCACGTATCACCTGGTGCTGGATGAGAGCAATGGAGGAGCTCAACATTACGTTCTCAGTCTTCTTGCTATACGGGGTGGGCCTGGCCAGGGCTCAGAATCTGGACCTGGATCTAAACCATACCTGTCCCCAAGCAGGGAGGGTGGTTGCATCATATGTGTGGTTTGTTCCACTGTACAATTAGGTGCTAGGTCTAAAATTCATCCCTGTGAGTCCAGGAGAGTCTGCACTCAAGATTTTACTCTGGAGCATCCCAGGTTTGAGCCATTTTAAAGACTTGCACAAAATTTTCCAGTAATAAGCTAAGAAAGAAGACATGTATGCTGCCCATGTAGCACCTTCATGGTACTTCCCCTAGACATTAGTTTGTGTCAAAATCTGATTTCTGGTGAATTAGTAGAAGCTGGCATTGGTGAATCTTTCAATTCAGATTGGTGGGAGCTGCTGAAGTGACCAACTGTTGCTCTGCTTCTCCAGACAATATTTTTTCTTAGCACACTGATGCTTTTATAGGTCACCAGTTACAGCTTCTTAGTTTGAGTAGCTGAGAAATGGGTCAGTGATTCATTTAATGACCAGCTTGTTAATAGATTTAAAACACTTGAATGGTTTAGTTAACTAAAAATCTGAACTGGTTGCTTAGTGTTGACGCTGTACATTTATGCACTTCATAAAATAGCGGGGGGAAAGGCAAAGCAAAGTTACAGCATTGCAGCTACAAGAAGATAAAGAGGAGCTCTGAGTTGTGAAACTGCTGACTGACTAATTAAACATTTCTAGGAGATATTCTTTAATATGATGTCATAGCCATACATGATAACACCATACAGAAGTGTCAGAGTTGAGGCTTGCAAATGATTTTAAGATTTTCCTGTTAAGAAACGACAGAAGTTCCAAGTATTAGTAGCAGTGTCTAATCGATATAGGTACTTTCAGTGATGAAAGTCCAGAAATTAAGGCTACCCAGGCATGTCCTATGTGCTCAGAGGTGCCATGGCTTTGTCTAATCCGGCGACAGGAAAATGGATAATCAGCCACCAGGCCAGCATGGGAAAAGACTGACTGCGTTTTCACGAGCATGGACTCAGGTGTTTGGGCTGTTACTATTGTCCAGCCTCAGCTTTTCTTTAACTTTAGTCAATAGTAGCCAAAGTCATACTTTTTAACAGTATTTTTACTGCTTTAATGTATAAAGGATGCACTATCCTCCTCTCCATTCCTTCTCCATCTCCTTCCAGAGTTTGCCACTCTCAGTCTTTCTAATGCCACATGGGCTGCAAACATGCTCTCCTGGTTTATCCTGCCCTGTGGATTTGGCTATCTTGTCCCATTCTGTAGACTTAGCACAGCTCACTCATCGCTTACTAAAACATAAAACTAGATAGAAAGACTGAAAGGGAAAAGAGGAATGGACTTGGTTTTGTTTTCTATCTCTGCTGCATTTTTATCTCATATTTCTAATGTACAAGACTATATCCTTCTCTGTTTTTCTTCCAGTCTTTCTACACAGGTTGTAGCATTTCCCACTCGGATTCCTGTCACTATTTTTGACATGACTTCAGGAAGAACTCATCACTGTCCCTTGAGAGCGAGACAGCCACCCACTGGTGTGTACCCAATTAACAATTTCTAAGGCAAATTAAAGTTCAGGAAACGTGACTTTGTGCCACATTACATTTTAATTAAGACTTTAGAGTGATACAAAGAGATTTGACTATTTTATTATTTTTTTTTTTAAATTGTAGAGGAAGAGGAACAAGATATTTTGGATGCTGATGGATCAGACTGTCATGAGGGTCCATCCCCACCAGCACCGCACTTGTGCTCCCCTGAACCCCTCCCAGTGGACTCCCTTTTGCCTGCCTGGGAAGCAAGGTTAGTACCTTCACCTCAGTCGTCATCTACAGCTGCAAGCTTCTCTCCTGACAGTAGAAATATAGAAATCAAAAGCTATAGTGATTACCTTGCTGATAAACAAACTTGCGCATTTGGAAACCCAGATGGCTTCAGCCACAGATGATTTTTTGCAAAAGGGATAGATTATATCTGATAATATCATACATCCTTAGTGTGTTTACTAGGATCCACAACGCACCTTAGCAAAAAGAAATATCTTTTCACAGGTGAGACAACTAAGTTTACTGGTGGTGTTTTCAGCGTGTGTTACCCAGCTGGAAACATCTGCGTGTGCTTTCAGTACTCTTTCGTCAATTTTTATGTTATAAAGGGCATTTCTGACTACCTAGCTAGGCTGTTTGCTAATGTTCTTCCCTAATCAGAGAAGAGCTTGCATCACTGAGATTACAGGATGTCATCAGTGTGACATTTTCAGAAAAACAGAAATGTTTTCTAATGCTGCACCTATTTGACTCACTCTCTTCTTGTTCCTTTTTCCTATGAAAAACAACAGCAACAGCAGCTAAACTTTAGAGACCGATGGAGCAAGTTGCTGGTTAGTTATAGGGCTTATATTATAAACTTGTGCTAGTGCAGCTTGTCTGCCACAGATGTCAGCAGCTAATCTGCCTACTCTGAAGTGCAGGCAGGGGCTCGCGCCGGTCGAGTTCTGCTAGTCCCTTAATCACTTATTTCTGTCTCTGACATACATTGGGAATGGACAGATTAAAACTTTCCCACAAGTCTCCATGAAAGAATGGGAAATTGCACTGTCTTACAATTCACTGCAGCATTGAAAAAAAGCACAGATCTCCAAAGCAAAGGAGGGTGTGCAAAGCCCACAGGGATCTTCTGAAGCCAGCCCAAGCACTGGCGGCAGTCGGGCTTCTGCGGGCTGCAGAGATCAGGAAGATTCACAGAATCAAGGCTAAAATCCACCGCATCCTTGTGTAGAAGCCTCACGTGGATCTGGAACCGCATCCACGGTTGCACATGTTTCAGAGCAAGCTTTGTCGGGGTGAGTTGCAGAAGACAAGGCTCTCTCTCCAGAAAACTCTCCCAATTCTTGATTATATGAAAAGACAAGTTACATTTTATTTCAGCTGCAGAGGTGCTCAAGAAAAAGATGAGATATTGGCCCTCACAGGGTATCATAAAATAGCATAACTAAAATTAAAGTGATAATAAAAGCATAAAACCAAGTACCTGACAGTTTTACGTACCTCTCTGCTTAAGTGGGCTTGTAAATTTCTGCTTTCTTTTATTATCTTTGTCTGTATTTTCTTCCTTACGCACAACATGGACCATTAAATCATGGCTATAACATTCTAGAGACTTCAATAGGAACAGGAAGAAATAAAAAACTATTCTTGAAAATATCTGGACATTTGTATCTAAGTTTCCTTTACCAAAATGAAAAATAGATTCAAAGAGGGACTTCTAACACTGAAAAACTCCTCTGAAATGAAAAGGGCTGCAGGGTGCACCTAGGGTGCTGGCAGACTTAGGTCAAAGTGTAGCCGGATACTTCGTTTCTACTCTTTTTTTGGAAAGCGGTACATGGATTTTAAATTTTGCACATGCCAAAAACTTCCTAAGCTGTTTGTAACTTGTGTAAAATCCTAAAATCGATGATGCCTGCACTATGGTGTAGAACTGACTGTGTTTTGAATTATGCTTCTTCCGGGGGGCTCAGCTTTACTTTGGGCAAAATGCACAGCTGAAGACTGCCTTTCTGAAAGGACAACCTCTCTTCAGTGGTTTCGTCTTATTCGACCGCTAACGAAACACAGCATTATCATGTGACGTAGGTAGTTCCAGGCAATGAAATCCTTCACCCATGATCTTCCAGGACTCCTACCGTTGAAATCTAGGTGAGACTCCATCTTTGTCTCAATGTAGGATGGATAAAGGTGGGATGAACACCCCAAAGTGCAGCTTCAGGGTGTGTTTTTTGGGAAAGCCTGTGCTTGTCTCAGCACTGCCAGCTTCACATTCCCTTCAGCAGCTTAATAAGGAGGGCTCTGCCACAACTTTGCAAGGTCTAAGTGCTCTCGAGCTCCGGCAGGGGCTGTGCACCCCCACTGCCACACTCTTCCACCCCTAAAACTGTCTGGTTTAACATGGAAAACATAGGCAGCTGGGCCAGGAGGCTGTGCCCCACTTTATTGCAACACTGCACAGAGCACCCTCATGAGGCATGAAGCCATGAGCATCTCAGACAAGCAACCAAGGTCTGCCTAATGCAATTCTGAGAACCCAGGTTTCAAGCACT